GGGCATCCTCAAATGGAAGGTGGAGGAGCGCAAGGTCTCTAACATCCACCAGCTCCGTGATGTCGTCATGGAGGAGTGGAAGAGGACTCCAGTGGCAACCTGTGAAGCTCTGGTGAACTCCATGCCCAAGAGGGTTAAGGCAGAGCTGGAAAATAATGGTGGGCACACAAAATATTTACACTTTGGGCACAATTTGGACATTTATACTTAGGGGTGTACTCACTTTTGTGGCCAGCGGTTTAGACATTAATGGCTGTGTGTTGAGTTATTTTGAGGGGACAACAAATTTACACTGTTATACAAGCTGTACACTCACTACTTTACATTGTAGCAAAGTGTCATTTCTTCAGTGTTGTCACATGAAAAGATACAATAAAATATTTACAAAAATGTGAGGGGTGTACTCACTTCTGTGAGATACTGTACATACAGTACATGCAGAAAGTGTAAATTAGACTGACAGACATTTTGGGCAGTGGAAAAATGAAAAAAATAAAATAAAAAAAAATAAATACATACATGAATGAATGAAAATGACAAAATCATATCTTCCGGTTCTGGGTGCTGACTGGTCAATAGAGCGTTTCAGAAAAATTTTACAATGCATTAAGTTTTATTACGAAACATCTGCTCATCTAGCTGCAGCATCACTGTGCATATGCATAAATCAGCACACATCTCCTCAATAAGAGGCATGATTTGAACTATCCTTCATGTCTATGACACATGGTGTGGGGTGAGTTATGAGCTGAATTTTGGGCTGGAAAAATAACAAAACTTGATGAATAATAATAGTGATGCTTTCCTGAAGCGAGCGCCACTAATTAGAGCATAAGCAAATGAGTCTGAGAGAGTCTGACAGAGCTGGAACTGCACGAAGATGGAGGACATGGAGAAACAGAGAGCGTTACCTTGTGTCCAGCAGCGTTCACTATCTCGTGTGTGGAGAAGGGAAACGCATCGTTGCTGAGGTCAGAGTTCAGCACTTCCTGCAGCAGCTCACGGCTGTCAACACACAAATCACACACTTCACTGTCAGTTCACTGAAAACTAGCCCTGTTTTATGGTTCAGCATAGAACCATACCAACAAAATCAATACCTCATAAATCAGCATCAGCTTTATGAGTTTTAAAAGTTAGTAAACGTCTTGCATTCCTAATTCAATCATTTAATTAAAACATTTATTTTAAATTGTATTCATATATTTAAATGGTATTCATGTTATAAATAAAATAAAATAAAATAAATAAATAAAATAATTAGTGAAATTAGAATAAATACAATGGCCCCAAAAGTAAAGGGACATTTAATTCGCACTTAAAGTCTATTAATACTTAAAGAATATATCAAATCAAGTGGCATTTGCTTTAAAGAAAAGCACACTTTTCAAGCAAAGCATTTCACAAAAGAGGTTTAAAATCATAAAACTTAAAATTAATTTAAAATAGTATTTTAAAGTAAAGATATTTTAGAATAAAAAATAAAATAAGAAAAAAAAGATTAATAATTTGTAAATTCAAAATAAATACAGTGGCTCGAAATGTATTTGGACAATTAATTCACACTTAAAATGCATTAATACATAAATATCTTAAATCACGTGACATTTAATATGTAGAGAAGAACAATAAGAAAAATATTTCACAAATGAGGTTTGTTAAGTTAAAAAAATGTTAGAACTTTTAAACTTTTTATTTTAAAATAGTATTAACTTATGGAGGGCCAAATGACTCAATTAAATCATTAAATAAATGTTGAAATATATAAATAAATCATTAAATACATAATTAAATACATACATACATACATACATATTCATTCATTCCCTCCACATTTCATATATATATATATATATATATTAGTGCTGTCAAACGATTAATCGTGATCGTATTAATATATGTGTGTGTGTGTGTGTACTGTGCACATTTATTTATATTTACATATATTTCTAAAATATTTACATGTATTTACATATATATATTTATTAGTGCTGTCAAACAATTAATTGCGATGAATCGCATCCAAAATAAAAGTTTTTGTTTACATAATATATATGTGTGTACTGTGTATATTTATTATGTATATATAAATACACACACATACAATATATATATTTGAAAATATTTACATTGATTTACATGTATATATTTATATTTATATAATCTATATTATATAAAAATACATTTAATATATAAACATAACACATTTTTCTTAATTATATACATGCATGTGTGTGTATTTACATAAATATACACAGTATGCACACATATATTATGTAAACAAAAACTTTTATTTTGGATGCAATTAACAGGGTTCGTACACATTTTTACCAATACATTTCCATGACTTTTGAGACAATATTCATGACCTAATGTTCCATTATTTTACAATAAGAATAAAAATCTGTTCAAATTATCATAGCATATGTTAACTAAAATTAATGACTATTAATGCTACTTGTTTGCTTTCTTGTTTTAGTAATAAGTACAAGCTGCAACTGCGCCAGACATTACTCCACACAGAGAACATATCACATCACTGAATATTATCATTTATTTAACTCAGTTAAACGCAGGATCTGAATTTCATTTTGGAAACTTTTCTCTTTCGCAACTGTTTACATTCACTTAAGAAAAAACTGACAGTGCTTATGAGGATACTTGCCAGGATGGCCATTTTGACGTCATTTGGTGTGTATTTTTGCCGCTTAAACGCAACAAGCTGTGCTTTAGAGCCTATAGGCTATTTCAGCCCCGACTTATTTACAGCTTTGGGACAATTTTCACATCATGGCTCAGATGCGGGCCGGGCATCGGGTTTGTTTTAGGCTTCCTCCTTATTTTTATATTTTAGATATCCATAAATTTTTATAGTGATGAAAAGGTTTTGCCGCGCTGGTGGAAACAACACGATGCTACAGCGACTGTCAAAAGTGGCGCGACGATGTTTAGTGTCCAGCAGCAGCGAGTGCTGGAAGAGTTCCACGTTAAAGCGCACACAATGAAGCTTGCCGCAAAACCCCAGCAAGTAATTATCATGATGAATGTGTCGGGGCCAGGGGAAATAAAATATTCTCTGAGTTTCGGTTCATTTTTGTGAAGTTCATCTCCTGCTCAAGACCGAGATGGCAGAAAGCGCATCCTGTTTGTTTTCTAAAAAAGCACAACGTATGCTCTATTGTGAGTGCACACAAATAAAGGTAGACCCTTAACAGTCCCGAATGATGTATTACTCTTACCTTTATGAGCAAAAATGACGGTTGTTTCCACTGTTATAAGAAAAAATGCAAGTGATCGCGCTGGCGACTCCATGTCATGCAAAGCGCGCTTTAGCTTCTCTGCACAAACGATTGGATACACGCCTAATAGCACACATATATCTAGGTTAACCATTTAAACTAACATTGTGATATGCTTTTTTAAGTATTTTATATATATATTTTATTTTAGTCAAGTGGTGATGATTTGAGAAAGCTAAATTGATCAAACATAGGCTATGATTAACTCACTGTCTGCCGCTGGCTGCTTGGTCGTTACTTTAAAAAACAAAAACTTGAATTGAACAAAGAAAAAAAGGTTCCAAACATATTTCTAAATTAACTTAATAAAGAAACGAAAATAAATATAACCACATTGCCATTAACAACGAAACTGAACTATTTTAATGGCTACAACAGCAGCTGTGTAATTGGGAAAGAGAGAAAAAAGACATGGTCTCCAGTCGGACTCAGCACTCAGGCCAAGAATTCTGATAAGCTGTTGGACAAGGGCCGGACTGGGGCATATGTTTGGGGCCTGTGAAGGGTTCTACTGAGCTTGTTTGGTACCAAACTCAACTTGGTACTCGCAAGGCGGCTTTATATATGCACACGCGCTCTTTGGATGTGACTGCGCACCGCCTCTGGAGCGCGCAAGTACCGAATGGCTTAAAAATACGTGCAAATAAATAATACTTTTTTGTGACGATGCAACAATGACCCGATTAGGCAAGTGACAATTCTGTCAACTATAGGCTACCAAAACGCAAGTGAAAGTCTTGTATCACAGCGCTTGTAGCGCAGACAAGATGCGCCGATGTGGAGCCGTTTGAAGAGAAAATCAAAGAGAGAAGATGCGGTACAGCTGAATCACTCACGCTGTTTTCAAATGACTGATTTGATCTGATAGTCTGTGTGGATTTATTTACTCATCAAACCTACATGCTATAGGCAATTGAATAAATGTGTGAATATCCATCATTTTAAAGTCAAAAGCTGTGGGAATGAGTAAAACTATGCGATATATATGCGCAATCCCGCACCAAAATTCAGGACCTGATTAAACATAATTCTATTATACAGAGTTCTGTGAAATAGATTTCCATGACTTTTCCAAAACTTTCTGGGTTTATTTATTTTTCCAAAACTTTTCCAGGCCTGGAAATTGCTGTTTTAAAATTCCATGACTTTTCCAGGTTTTTCATGACTGTACGAACCCTGGATTAATCGCGATTAATCGTTTGACAGCTCAAATATTTATATTCATATAATTTATATTAAATATATTTAAGATATAAACATCACACATTTTTCTTAAATATATACATGCATGTGTGTGTATTTATATATACATAATAAATATAAACAGTACACACACATATATTATGTAAACAAAACTTTTATTTTGGATGCGATTAATCACAATTAATCGTTTGACAGCACAATACACACACACATATATATATACATACATACATACATACATACACATATATACAAACACACACACAAAGTAGTTGGACACTTAAGCCACACTTAAAACGTATTAAATGTCATTGCATGATATGAAAATATTAAACCAAGTAGCCTTACTATAGAGAAAAGCACACTTTAAGCAACAAATTAATATAAGAGCCTTGATTATTATATATTCTTTATGGAATGCAGGAAAATGGCTTTGTGTCACCATTAAACTCTCTCCATTTCATCAGGTCATCCACAAGTTCTTTCTATTTTGGACCTGCAGCCCTTGTCTGACCTGCGCTTTCCCTGCGACTGTGTGTGTGTGTGTGTGTGTGTGTGTGATGGACTTGTTCTAGCTGCATCATTTGGGGTGACAGGAACAGCTTGGCCTGTTTTGCATTAGCATGTGTGTAAACAAAAGCAGAAGGAGGCCTCAAGAACAAGAGTGTGTTGGGCTTCATGCTACATGTATCTAACAGTACGGTTATCCTGCAGCAACAGCCACAGAGAGGAACACGACATCTGTGTGGGCAGAGAGAAGAGAGGAAGAAACAGTTTAGAAAGGTGATGGAGGAGAGAGATGTGATGTATGAGGATGGAAATGATGAAGGTGGAATGCCACGGTTTTGAAGCATCACATCATTTGTGTGTGTAGACGTTATTTACTCATCAAACCTACATGCTATAGGCTATTGAATAAATGTGTGAATATCCATCATTTTAAAGTCAAAAGCTGTGGGAATGAGTAAAACTATGCGATATATATGCGCAATCCCGCACCAAAATTCAGGACCTGATTAAACATAATTCTATTATACAGAGTTCTGTGAAATAGATTTCCATGACTTTTCCAAAACTTTCTGGGTTTATTTATTTTTCCAAAACTTTTCCAGGCCTGGAAATTGCTGTTTTAAAATTCCATGACTTTTCCAGGTTTTTCATGACTGTACGAACCCTGGATTAATCGCGATTAATCGTTTGACAGCTCAAATATTTATATTCATATAATTTATATTAAATATATTTAAGATATAAACATCACACATTTTTCTTAAATATATACATGCATGTGTGTGTATTTATATATACATAATAAATATAAACAGTACACACACATATATTATGTAAACAAAACTTTTATTTTGGATGCGATTAATCACAATTAATCGTTTGACAGCACAATACACACACACATATATATATACATACATACATACATACATACACATATATACAAACACACACACAAAGTAGTTGGACACTTAAGCCACACTTAAAACGTATTAAATGTCATTGCATGATATGAAAATATTAAACCAAGTAGCCTTACTATAGAGAAAAGCACACTTTAAGCAACAAATTAATATAAGAGCCTTGATTATTA